TCTATACCAGATGCAAGAGAAGGTTCCCCCAGGGGACGTACGTGCCCAACAGCGTTTAAACAAAGTGATAGCTGCTGTGGAATTCTCAGCAGATGCCACCATGCATGCCACAAGGTTTGCCTCTAACGCTATGGCCACCTCTATAGGGGCCTGACGAATACTGTGGCTTCGTCATTGGCAGGGAGACATGAGGTCCAAGTGGAAGCCAGCTTCTGCCCCTTAACAGTGGCAGAAAACTTTTTGAAGAGGCTCTAGATTCTGTGTTGGTAGAGAATAAAGATAGGAAGAAGGTTCTACCTTCAGAGTTCAGAAAATGGACCACTGTCAAACTTCTTCGCAGGCCTTCCTTTTGGGCCACAGACGCCGGATTCGGCATCCACCAGTCTCAAAGGACATATACACACGGGCACAGACAACCGGACAGATCTGGTTTCAAAGATAGATATGGTCAACAGGGCCAAAACAAACATCCATTCAGGGGCACGAGCAGCTTCCCCTTCTGTCGCACCAAATGACAGATAAACCCTCCCATTGGCAGCTGTCTAAGTCTGTTTGCCAGTCAATAGAAAACAACAACAGACACCTGGGTCCTAAACATGGTTGATACTAGGTGTCTCCCTTGAATTTCTCTCCACACCCCCAAACTTTTCATAAGTTGTCAGATTCCAAAGGATGAGGTAAAGAGAAACCTCATGGAGGCAGCAGTGCAACACTTACTAGACATCCAAACTATCCAACCAGTCCCACGAGACAAGCAAGGAAGGGTTCTACTCCATCCTGTTCATAGTTCCAAAGAATTTGGGGGGATGGAGGGCAATTCTGGACCTAAAAAGACTGAACAAATATCTGATATACAAGAAATTCAAAATGCAGTCCCTTCAGTTGATACTGGGGAGCATTCAGGAAGGTGACTTCCTGACCTTACAGAGGCTTACATACACATTCCTATTCTACAGCTCATCAGAAATTCCTGCATTTTCAGTATGCTGGCTTGCAATTCCAATACAATTCGAATACATGCCCTTCGGTCTATTAGCGCCCACAGCTTTCACCAAAGTGTTGGCAGCGGTGGTGGCACACCTCAGAGTGATTCCAGTGCACGTCCAATGTTACCTGGATGACATACTGATACAGTCCTTTTCACCAAACAGAGCAGCAGAGGACCTACAGTTCACCATCAGGACCCTGCAGGAACACGGGTTCTTGGTGAATTTCGACAAGAGTCATTTGTTCCCAACACATCGACTGCTGAACTTGGGAGCAATCATAGATATCAGGTCATGCGTGGTCTGTCACAAGGACAAGCTAGTATCAAGGTACTGGCAGCCCAAATTCAGTCAGCCCCATCAGTGACGCTGGACCTACTATCACAGCTCCCGGGGGAAATGGTGTCCTGCGTAGCAATTTTACCATGGGCATGGCTTCATTTTACTCCAGGTTCCCAAAAACGGGTGGAGGAAGCCAATGCTCTCCACATTCCATGGTCCAGAGACTGCTATACACTTTCCCCCCAGTTCCACTAATCCCAAGAGTTATAAATAAACTGATAAAGGAGAGGGCAGAGATCCTTGCACCACACAGAAGGGTACTACAAAAAGTATGTTCAGAATCAGGCTCAACACCAGACCTCCTCCCACCCTTAGGACAGCCACCTTTGGTATGTCCCACACAATTGGATTATCCTTCCAGCAACTGGAGAAAGCGTTGGTCTTACCTGACACACTTCTTCTCAGTGTGCTGAAGAATAATCCAATCTCACTCTGGCAACTGTCTAGAGTCCAGGGAAAGTCATCACCAGCACCATAAGTTAACACATCTTCATTAAAACTGGACAGACTCAGGAGGAGGAGGAGGCATGACCAAGAATCTGATTGACTCAGCCTCCAAGCAGAAGAGGAGTCTACACCCACACAACTGGATTATCCTTCAGCACACTGAGAAGTGTGTCAGGTAAGACCAACGCTCTTTTCAGAAATTGTTATTTAATCTGATTTAATATTTAGTAATAAATAAAACCTTCCTTGTTGAGAATTGAATACAATGACAGCAAGTCTCTCTTACTGATACTCAGACCTGTGCTGGAGATACATTATAATTAACCATTTAAAATGCAATTTGCCTGAAGGGCATCAGGTGCTTATGAAGTTGGCATCTAATTTCTTACCTTTGAAATTTCCATATGGTTGACAGCTGTTAACTGGTTGGCAAAGGGGGGCTGTACTTTAGCTTTATTCTAGACTGCACTGAAGTAATAGGAATGGACTGTCAACCATTAAATGCGATGTGTTTTGTAGTCTGCCTGGTGTGAAGAAAGCTTTGGGAAAATATGGCCCTGCAGATGTTGAAGACAATACGGGCACAGGTGGAGATAACAAAGATGATGACGACATTGATCTTTTTGGTTCTGATGAAGATGAGGTATCCAAAGCTTCTTCCTGTTAATTTTGTATGGAGCTTACATAAAAAGCAGCATGAACTTAATTGAATTATATAATAGAATATAATGCAGTTAAGATTAAATGGTTAAGACACTGTGTGAGAAACTATCTACAATACTACCAAATTTGGCTAGTTTGTACATCTCAGAATTGTAATGTTAGCTTCTCAGTTGGGAGATTTCAGTGTTTCTACAGAGGTTGCCCAGCTTGATATTTCCTGTTTGCCATTACAATCACAAACTCATATAGTCCCATGTGTAAAGCAAGGTACACATTTGATTTGGAATTTTGTTCAATTGGTTTTTGGTCTAAAGGAGGAACAATTATGTGTACAATCTATTGCATAGAAAGATGTTTTAAATGAGAGAAAGCCCTACTCTCTACTAGCAATGAATGATAATTACCCACCGTTTCCCCAAAAATAAGATATATCCCGAAAATAAGCCCTAGCAAGTTTTATGTGTGCACCTAATATAAGTCCTACCCCCCCCCCCCATAAGCCCTATTTAAGAGCCTGTGCAGGCGGCCACCCACCCATTCTGTATGGTTGCTCGCGGTGCCATGGCCACAATGCACAGGAAGGGGGGTGCCCCTCACCAGCTTACTTAGGCTTCCACAGCCAGGCCATCCATGCCCTAACTTCTATCTCGCAGCAGCAACCATGTGTAGTAGGAGCCTACATGGTTACCAGCCCACTTCTGCTTGTTTGCTGGAAGTCAAGGCAGATGTCAGGATGTGGATGGCTGGCTGTGTGGCACTGAAGTAAGCTAGTGTGGGGAAGTTCCATTCCCCCCACCCACCTCACTGCAGCACTGATGTGCCATGCTGCCTTCTGCCTCCCGTACATGGAAAAAAATAAGACACACCTAGAAAATAAGCTCTAGTGCTTATTTGGGGGCTCAAAAGAAAATAAGACTTGGTTTTATTTTCAGGGGAAACGGGGAATTCAGTCTGCAAGAAAACAGGCAAGCTCAGAGAGCACAAAGGACTGCACATTTACAAATACTCTCCTCTATAGAAGGATCATTCTCTTGATAGCCTTAGATTGGCTGCCTACATGAAATTCTGCAGGGATGATGTGTTAGTAAAAATGTTTCACTTCAAGAGCCAAATGGCTCCTATTAACTACTCAGTTATTTAGGAAAAATGTAAATAATCCCACCTAACTGAGGCTTGTTTTTTCTAAGTAGCATGAGCCATCACTTAACTGAGAGTGAGGGCACTGGATCAAAATGGACACATGTTTATTTAAAAACAGATGAATCAAGTCAGTTTGTCTTACTGAGATTCTTTTCAGATTCCATATCTTGCAAAGGGATATAACATTTGGAAGGAAATTAATGTTGCTAGTTTTTTAATCATTCCTAACAATAAAAATGGAACTGGTCCTGTTATGCTTTATAGTCATTAAAACTTTCCACTAACCCAGTAGAATTTAGTAATGATATACTAAATGTATACTGTATACTTTGTCCAATACAACCAAGAAGTTGCTTTGCAACTATATTTCAGATATAGTTTGAGTGTCTAAACCAATTTCATTTGGTATTTAAACAAGGGTGTGAAATTAAAATTTCTTTAGTGAATGAAAAGGGTGGTGCATTGGAATGTTGTTCTATTCTTTTGGAACTTTCTGTGGCCTTAAGTGCAATTTGACCACAGTGTTCTTTGGAGTTATCTGATAAATCTGGGCCTTTGGTAATTGTAGTTGTTAGAGCAGGGGTCCACAAACTTGGCAACTTTAAGACTTGTGGACTTCAAACTCCCAGAATTCTATGCTGGCTGAGGAATTCTGGGAGTTGAAGTCCACAAGTCTTAAAGTTGCCAAGTTTGGAAACCTCTGTGTTATAGTTTTATTGTATCCAGAATAGAGTCTATTGTTTCTTATATCTCTGTAAAAGGATTGTGCTCAATTTAAGAAGTCTCTTAGATCCTAAGCTACCAAATAGTGGCAGAGATGAGTGTATTTGAACAATAATAATTTGTGATAATAGCTGGTTTCAAATGATCATATTGGGCAACAATTTTTCCCTAGCAGATGATTTCAGACTATGAAAAATTATCCCTTTAACTTGCAGAATAATTTAGTCTTTTATTTAGTCATTTTTAATTGATGGGATTGTGTTGTAAGATTTGCAATATATTATGTTAATTTTATCTTATTTTTGAATTTATTGTTTATTAATGTTAGCCTTTTGTGTGTGTGTCTGCATGCTATATTTTAGTGGAAACACTTGGTAGAAACCTAAAAAAATAATTAGATAATGCTTTACTCTGTAAAACTATGGCAGGTACACAATCTATCCAACCTTCACTGAAGGCTTAAATCACAGTAAATGTACGTATGACTTCTGGGAAAGCCTAGGGCAGTAGTCTAGACTGGGAAAACAAATAGCACTCTTGCGTTTTTGCCAAGAGAACTGTGGACACAAAGTAGTAATCATGGAATTGGGAATCATGCCCCACTTGAGAGAAACTTTATCTTATATGTTGTAATGCATATTAAAGTTAGCTGTAGGTAGTGTTTTAAAATTAAAATCTCATCTTTTTCAAAGCTTTGAATTGGTGACATGATGAATAAAACCAAATCACCATCTTTCGTCTGAAATTATGATGATTTGTTTTTCTGAAAGAGCCAATTGAGTTTGTTCTTAATAAGGAAATAATTGCTTTATTTTATTTAACTTTCTTTTGATTTCTTCAGGAAAGTGAAGAAGCAAAAAAGTTAAGGGAGGAGAGGCTTGCTCAGTATGAATCAAAGAAGGCTAAAAGTAAGTTACCAGCCCTTTAGCACTCCTTAACTTTACTCAGTCTGAATTATTTCCTAGATTAACCGCAGTCTGACTAAGCTCACTGCGTATAAGTATTACAGACATCTTTTTTATTTTAGGTATTGCTTTGATTTAAAATCTGTCATTACAGTTCAAATATCTGAATACAGGTAAAGATAAATTTCTGTCAATGGTGAAATACTGATTGCATAGCAAATATGTGATTCCACAGGTACTGGCCTGAAACTGTTCAGTGCTGTAGCAGTTGCAGTATTCCAACTGTGGGAAAACAGCTGTTATGCTTGCAGAATGCTCCTTTCCCAAGCGGGAGAAGAGAGTTTCAGTGTAACGAACAATATCATATCTTGTATTCTTCTCCTCTGCTGATTAAATTTAATCTTATTTTGCAGTTTAGAAGTTTTAAACATTTACTTTTAGCTTTGTTCTAAGTAAAAGCAACATTTTTTGAGTACTAGCACTAGGTTGTATAAGGAAATTTGTTACAATACAGTTGCTATTGTGATGTTATCCATTCAGTTGTGCTTGACTCTTAGCAATTCTGTGGACCAGGTCTCTGCAACATCTTCCAATCTTGCACTACTTCGGCAGTTGCTTTAACTTCTTGAAATCATGTAAAACAGCCTGTTTTTATTGAGTTATTCTTTGGTTTTTCTAGAACCAGCACTGGTTGCCAAGTCATCCATTTTATTAGATGTAAAACCTTGGGATGATGAGACAGATATGGCCAAATTGGAGGAGTGTGTCCGAAGCATTCAGGCTGATGGCTTAGTGTGGGGATCATGTAAGTAACTGGTTGGAGATAGAAAAATTATGACTTATTATTTTTAGAGTACATTTCACATGCATAAGATCTAAGTATAGTTGAATTGCTTCTTAAATCATGTCTGCAAAAGTTCATAGAGTTTATTGTTTCCATTTCACAAAATAACGGGCTTTTTGTTGAGAACTTCCAACTGGTGTAGTAGGGCCAGTCATATTTCTTACTGAGTATCCCAAAATGGAATTTTGGCCGTGTTGTGGACTAATACTGTAGTATTTAGACTTATATACCACCCATAGTGCTTCACAGCACTTTCTGAGTGGTTTATAATGTCAGCATTATTTGCATTGCCCCTAACAATCTGGCTCTTCGTTTTACTGACCTCAAAAAGATAGAAGGCTGAGTTAACCTTGAGTCTTGTCAAGATCAAACTCTGGCTGTGGGGAGACTTTGCATGCAATATTGTATTCTAACCACTGCTCCATCAGGGCTCCTAGACTAGATCATTGAATTCTGATGGCCCTGTAATTTACAGTACCTTATCACATCCTCTGCTCTCTTTGCACCTGATAGGCAAATGTATGTGGACTAGCACCATTCTTTTCCTCATTCCATTGTTTTTGCACAACATATATATCAACCGATACAATTTATCAAACCTCCCTACCTTCTTGCAAACAACAATGTCATTAGACATTACCTTAAACTGGATTTATTACTTATTGCTGTTCCTGCATATGATAGTCTTCAATGCACTTACATTTATTGAAATGTTCCAATAAGGAAAATTACCTAAGTTTACTACAGCATCATTTATAGCAAATTATTGCCATAAATCAGAGTTTGGTGGCACTTTTCCAGACTTAACATTTTATTAAAAGAGTGCTAGAGTGCTACTAGAATCCTTCTATAAAATGATGGAAGGCAGGGGCTATCTAATTTTTCCCCTTTTAAATTCGCTTCTTAGTTGCTGTACTTCAGGGGGAGTTTCTGTATGAGAGAAGCTATAATTCAAGTTCCTGAATGCTTGCTTCTACACATTACCCACACTGAATATCTATTACAGGGCATAAACATATAGAGTAGATTATCAGTTTTAACAGTTGTTTCATTATCTTTCTAGCAAAGCTAGTTCCAGTTGGTTATGGAATAAAGAAACTTCAAATTCAATGTGTAGTTGAAGATGATAAAGTTGGAACTGATATGTTGGAAGAGAAGATCACTGCATTCGAAGATTATGTACAATCAATGGATGTGGCAGCTTTCAACAAAATTTAAGTTGTGGTAGCTTCTGGAATAAAACTATTGCAGCAGAAATATTGTGATTTATTGTCTTCAGCTATTCGACTTAAAATCGAGTTTGCAATGGAAGTTTGTGGGTTAAAAGGAAATACTATCATTTGAATTCTTTGCTTCAGAGACAGAAGGTGGTTCTACTATAGTTCCAATCTTATCCTGGGAGGAATTCCAGGTTGTGATTTTACACTGGTGAACCAAATCCCCTCTAATTAATTGAATAGTTCTTTACCTGACATAGTGGGTTGCTCTGACATTGAAAGCACTGAAATGGAGGAGTTTAAAAGGTTAGGGGGTAAACAGAGGGTGGTTTATTTCATAAGACTCCCCTCAAATTTAATGGTATATGTGAATCACCTAAGGAGAATTCACTTAAACCACCATGCACTCAAACAAATGGACCATCAGATAAATTATTTTGTTCATAGACAAAGGTTGGATAAGATGCCAAATAGTAGTATAACATTGGTCTATCTGACCTGCTAAATATGTCAGATGCATTCTTTGAATAATCTTGGATCACATGAGATCTCAAATGCCTTTATATAGTAAATGTGTTGTCATCTTCATCATCACTCAAAGCTCCATAATTATCATGACACAGTACACATGAACCACAAACTATCATCAGTGTAGTTATTGTCTTCCACCAAATTCTATGCTGTTGATAGGTACCTTTAGAGTTTTTGACTTGGAATGCATTTGAAAAACTAATGGAAGGTTGGTTGGCTGCTTCTGCTTTTTTAGTGGTGTTTGTTTATCTTTGTTTTTTGAACATTGCATTCATTTATGTCTCTCCATGGAAAGGGCTTCTTTTTAAGGGGCTTTATTGGCTTCCTAATCTTAGGAATGTATGCTTTTTTGGATCTTGCTGAAGCAGTCTGTGGTATGTTTTGGTGCAAAGGTATGTTTGAAAGTGTTTTTTTGAGATCTGTTTGCTGCATTTCTTCAGTCTATTCCTTTGGCACTGAAAGTGCAAAAAGGATTGTTTTCTGAGCAAGGATGCAAGCATGACTCAAGATTACTTCTCTGTAAGAAGTTAGAAGAGGAACTACAGAAGAACCCACAGAAAAAGAACAAAAAATCCAATGGATTTTAAAAAAACATAAGTTAGGTCTAATAGACAAAAAAGAGCTAGCACAAAAAGTTAAAAGATCTAAACAAAAGCTTTTTGAAAACGCAAACAAACCAGGAAGATGGCTGGCATATAGATTGAAGAAAAGAAATTGATTTATCAACTAAAAGATGATGAAGGAACTCTTATTATCAAAATGATGATAAAAAAATTCAAAACTACTACAAAAATCTTCATGATCAAGAGATAATTCCAGAAGAAAAAAATAAAACAATACTTAGAAAAAGCAGAACTACCTACAGTACCAGAAACAAAGCAACATTAGAAGAAAAAATAACAATGATGGAATTAACAGAAGCAATCAAAAGACAAAAGAATGGCAAAACACCAGGACCGGATGGTCTACCAGCAGAATTAAATAAAATTTTACAGGAGTGACCCAATGTTGGTATTTAATGAACTATTGATAGAGGCGAAAATACCAAGTTCTTGGATGGAAGCATATATTACTCTCATTGAAAGAAGACTCAGATCTGAAATGGATAAAAAATTACAGGCCGATATCCTTATTGAATGCCGACTATAAAATATTTCCTTTAATAATAGCAGAATGACTAAAGAGATTTTTAAATCGATTTATACACTCAGATCAAAATGGCTTTTTACCTAAGAGACAAATAAAAGACTATGAGAATAATTTTGAATACTTAGGAATATTATGAAGCACAGAGAAGCAATGGCGTTGATCTTCCTAGATACACAAAAGGCATTTGATAATGTGAACTGGCCATTCATGTTAGCATAATTGAAAGCAATGGACTTTGGGGAGAGATTTATTAAGATGATCAAAGCAATATAAACAAACTGCAAGAGTGATGGTAAATGGGGATATGACCGAAAAGGTTAATATTAAGAAAGGAATGAGAAGGATGCCTCTTGTCACCACTTATTTGTATTGACACTAGAAGTATTAAATAGAAATATCAGACAAGATGAGATAAAAAGTATGGAGATAAAAAAAGGAAAATATCAATTACAGGCATTTGTAGATGATTTAGTTTTCTAGAAAATCCTCTAGAAACAGGACCTAAGCTAATTTTAAAAAGTACGGCGAAGTGGCAGGATTGAAAATAAACAGAAAAAACTAAGATCTTAGTGAAAAATGTCACTTACAGAGAAACAGGAAAAAAGATAACGAAGAGATTAGATATCCAGATCGCTAAGAAAGTAAAATATCTAGGAATTCAATTAACAGCAAGAAGTGTGACAATTAAAGAAGATAATTATTATAAATTGAAACAACAAATTAATGTAGATCTGGAAAAACTTGCAGTTGTTAATAGGGAGAATAGCAACAATTAAAATGAATATATTGCTGAGACTATTGTACCTGTTTCAAACTATTCTGATAAAACGAGAAAAAATATTTTGAAGATCTTAATAAAATAATATTAAAATATATTTGGCAAGAGAAAAAAAGCAAGAATAAACTTTAAAATGTTACAGGATACAAGAACCAGAGAATGGTTTGGATTACCTAATTGGGAATTATACTACCAGGCAGCAGTGTTAACATGGATGAAAGAATGGATTGTACTGAGGGACACAAGATTATTGACTCTGGAGGGGCATGATTTGCAATTGGGTTGGCATGCTTTTCTATGGTATGGGAAAAGTAAGATACATGGTTACTTTCAAAGACATAAGAAATGCAT